GTCGGTCCGCGACCCTGGATACCGAAGGCATCTTTGGGGTGATCTCATAGTTTCAAGCTCTTAATTACCTATTTCTAGAGAATTTGTGTGCTCGGGAATCCCTGATGATTAAATAAACCAAGATTTTACCATGATTGTAATTTTAGAGAGACGCGAAAGCGAAAGCCTATGGGGTCGCTTCTGTAATTGGATAACTAGCATTGAAAACTGTCTTTACATTGGATGGTTTAGTGTTTTAATGATCTCTACCTTTGTTACCGCAACTTCTGTATTTATTATCGCATTCATTGTTGCTCTTCCAATAGATATTGATGGTATTCGTAAATTTATTTCTAGATCTCTACTTTATGGAAACAATTTTATTTCTGGTACCATTATTCCTACTTCTGCAGCTATAGGTTTGCACTTTTACCCAATCTAGAAAGCGGCATCCGTTGATGAATAGTTATACCCTTAGGATTGTAGTTCAATTGGTCAGCGCATCGCCCTGTCAAGGCGGAAGCTGCGGTTTCGAGCCCTGTTAGTCCTGACGGATCCAAAAAAATCCATCACCCCCCCTTTTCTATGACTAAGGGATATAAATGGTAGAATTTCATTTCCAATAGTATCTTTGTTTTTTTCTTTTTTCATTTCTCATCAAACAAATATCGATAGTATCCCTTATATTCAAGACTCCCACAGATTTTGGGGTGCGAGTCTCTTATTTTTTCGATTGTTCCCCATCTATATATGTAATAGAATGAAGTACTAGAATTTTCCGGGAGCACATATACAAATGGACTTTCTTTCTTGTACAATACAAAATCAATTTAATATATTTCTGATCAAAGGAAAGATGATATTAACAAAATAAAGATTAAAAAAAAAAGATTCAATAAGTCTCACATCTCTTAGAGAAGGAATGAATAAGCTTTTTTTAAGATTACTGTCGATGTTGAAGAAAGAGCAAATTCTAAATAAAATAGTGAATATGATGGACTGAAATTTCTCTACAACAACAAACAATTACGACTTTTTTTATGTATGTAAAAAAATTTCATAAAAAAGTGGTAAAAATTTATTTTAAAAAATAATAAATCTAAAATATTAGAATATAATGAAAGTATGATATTAAATAAATAAATAAATATTCATAATTTTTTTTTTCTGATTTTATGTTGAGAGCATAAAAACTTTTATTTTTTATTTTATTTTATTCTATAAATAAAAAATAGAAAAAACTACTACATAATAATAAATAACTAAATAAAGGAGAAATACCAACCTTCTTGTTTTGAAAAAATTATTATTATTATTTTTTGGTTTTTCCTTCTCTCTTTCTTTGTTTGCCCCACACAATAATAATAATAATAATAAAGAATTTGAAAATTAAATCAAAACAAAAAATAAAAATTACTCCATACAAAATTAGGATATTATATTTTCTAGCTCTAACTTTACATTTTCAAATATTCAAATCATAAGAAATTTTCAATTTTTTAATTGGATTTATGAAGCATATTTCAATTTTTTTAAGAGAAAAGAAAACCATTTCCTACAAAAATAAAATTTTCAACTTGGTACAAAACTAAGTAAAATCTGTAATAATGGAAAATATAAATATAGTTTGTCATATAATCCCACTAATTTATTTATTTTAAATTGTCATATAATGAGAGAAGCTTGTGTCTCCATTTAATATCAGTTTTTAAATATAAATATATTTTTGTTACTTAATTAATTTATTTTTTTATTTGAATAATTATTTACAAATAATTTTTATTAATGCCAATTGTAAATTGGTTTAATAAATTTTTACGTATTTTTATTATTTAAATAAATTGTTAAGCCTGTTTTAATAATTTCGTTATTAAACAAAATAAATTTTATAATTTTTTGTTAAATTTAATACGATTAAAATATAATAATTATTGGAATAAGAATTTTTCTATTTAATTTACAAAAATAAGTTAATTCTTCACACTATTCTTTTTTTTTATAATTTTAAATTTTATATAATATTATAAATTTTAAATTAATATTTTAATTCTATTTAGTTGAACTGTTGAACCGTCGCACTGTCTTACAATACATGGTAGTTACATTTAGGGATTGAATGTTCTAATAACGGGTGTCCAACTAATAATATATATTTTATTATTTAAAGTAAAAAATGATCATAAATTCGATGATAACTGCAGAATTTTGTTGAATTAAGATCGAATATATCGCTTAATTGGATCCGACGACAAAGTAACGAGTTGACACATAAATTAGCAAGAAATGCATGTTATCTTTACTTTTGTGTCGGAATGATTTAACTCCGAACATTAATGTATTGACTATTTAAGTTTTAATGAAGTTGGATATTTTTTTTAAAAAAAATAAATGTTTTAATTTAATTAATATTTTCTCAAAAAAAAAAAAGAAAAAAAAGCTTTTCCCCCCGGAGAAAACTCTCTCCGTTTCTTGACTCATTTTAACCTAAACGTAGTGTTACCGTACAACTCGTCTGACATTTTTGGTTTGTTCTGTCCGTAGCCTGACTGACCTTTTTCTATTCGTGGGGGTTTGGTCGTCGTTTTGCCGCCATTTTTAGGTGCGTCTGGAGGTTACCTGAGAGCTACTTTCCGTCTCCATGGACTCAGAAACCAAATATCCCAAACCCCTAACCGCAAGGTTCTACTCTCTCTCTCTCTCGCTCTGTCTCTGTCCCTCTCTGTGCTCTTACTTTGTAGATACTTATCCTCATTCCGCTACATATCTCCGAAAAGGCCGTTTTTCATTGCTGAGAAGATATCGAGAAGGAGAAGGAAACAATGTGTTAATTGTCCTTTAGTTTTCAGTTTCAGCAGATTACCTCCGGTGTTCTTCTTACCCCGTAAACTGAACTAGGGATTTTGGATTATAAAATGCGGATGCCCTAAATGGCTACTGGTTGAAGCTAAATAGCTATTTAAACAGCGTGCATGTGGTATCTTGTTGTCTGCAAGTGGTTTTTTGTGTTTGTAGAATCCTGCTTGCGATGGTACTTCGTGATTGTGTACATGAGATGAAGCTAACGCGACCTTTGATTACTTAAATGTTTGTTGTCGCCGACGAATTCTATGTTCACTTATTATGCAGTCTATTCGATTTTCTGAATTTTTTTTTCTTGATTTTCAGATTTGTCCTTTGGTATGTTTTCTCAACAGAGTTATCCAGTACTGGAGCTGTTAAGATAGGAGAATGAAAACTTGAAGTTTTGAACAGAAAATATCGTTTAACTCCACCTCTTTGTGTATCTGCTTTTATTTAATTTTGATCATGTCAGTGATATCCCAAATTTGACACCTTTTCATTGATATACTTTTTTTTTTACTCTTTTCACATTCAAATGTTTTTTGATAGCATACTCGGTGGCAGAAAAGTTTAATTACATCATTCATGGTTTTTGATACTGAAACGAAGAGCATTTTGCCTTTGTAATACACCAGTAAATAATTGGCTAAATTCGGAGGTGGTCTTCCTGATCAATGCTTGTTGATCCTTAATGATCATTTACAGGCATAAATGCTTTGCGTGCTACAAGCAGTTTAAGAGAAAGGAACATCTCGTTGAGCACATGAAAATCTCGTACCATTCAGTTCATCAGCCTAGATGTGGGGTTTGTCAAAAGCACTGCAAATCTTTTGAATCAGTTCGAGAACATCTTCGCGGTACATTATAACACTCATTCTGATTCCTTTTCTGGTGAGTTGCGTATTTTACTTTCTGGTCCTCTGACATCCAGGCTCATTACCAAAAGGAAATTGTTCAAGGATTTTCTTGGAAAAAGGCTGCAATCTTTGCTTGAAAGTTTTTGATAGCCCAGATTCTCTAAGGGAGCATAAGTCAGAATGTTCCTTGTCTGCACCTCTTCCCCTTGTAAGTTGAGTTTTAGATTCTGATGCCTTTATGCAATTTAAGCTTCTTCCATCTTTATTATACTGCCTTTTCCTTTAGTTGAGTGAGGAATTGCAGAAATGTGTTGCTTATCATACTACTTTATGTTATCTTGCTTTTGTAGGAAAAATTGGCAGCCTCTTGTCCAAAATCCCAAGTCAACACTTCCCGGTCAGTTGTTGAAGATCAATCTTACAGAGGTATTCAAGCAATTGCTGTTGACTGTGAGATGGTTGCTGGTGATATTGATGATATTTGTGCTAGGGTATGTCTTGTTGATGAAGCTGAGAATCTAATCTTCCACACGTATATTAAACCACAAAATCCTGTTACCAATTATAGGTACTTCGAATCTCCCATGCTTTCATTTGGTTTCTTAAAGATAAGGAAGAAGGAAAATTTTGAAGGATCTTACATTGATCATTTGCATATTGCATGATTATATCAGGTATGAAGTGACTGGGTTAACTGAAGAGCATTTAGAGGATGGCATGTCACTTAGGGAAGTGCAAACAAAAATTTTAGAAATTTTGTATAATGGAGAGTCTGTTGCAAGACCAAAGTTGGATGGTGGAAAAGCTAAGCTTCTTGTGGGTCATAGCTTGGAACATGATCTGAATTGCTTGCGAATTAAGTATCCTCGTGATCTGCTGAGGTATAATAGACTGCTGACTTCTGAACTTGGTAAATCAATTGGCATCAGTATTTCATCTTCGTGTACATGCAGTATTATCAAATTGGTTGCTTTAAGTTTGAATGAAACCATAAACAAAGCCATGCAACTATAACCAAACTCATCCGTTTTAATGTTCTATGGCCAAATATATTCTAACCTTTTGTCTGTCCAAAGTTAACTATTTTATTGGAAATAAATTCATTTACTCTTATCAAACCTACTTATATACATTTGGCTCTTTTTCTATTGACATAGCATGATCTTAAGAGCCCATGAACTTAATATTTTTCTTAGTTTCTACCTATGAGAGGGTTTCGGTTTGTTATTTGGTGCTTATGAAGAACTTTAAGTACTCTGTTTCAACTAACCCGTTTGGTAACAAGTAGTAGGGTGCTTATGAAGCACTTAAAAGTAATTTTAAGTAGGAAAAGAGTTAGTAACAAATTTCTATTTTTTGAAGTTGCTTATTTTTTAAATAAGTACCTGACTGTTTAGACTAATTTATTCCACCTTGTGCTTTAATTACGGTACATATCTTTAAGTAATCCAAGCATCCTGTAAATGTATATTTTATCTTAATTATGTGTTTGCTCTCTGAATTTTCCCTCTCTCCCATTTTGGTCCATGATTTTTAAAATCTTAAGATTAATGTCCTAGTTTTTCATTTCTGTTCATTTAATTCCTTCCATTAGCAATTTCTATTGAACCCTGATGTTGACATGTCCAATTCACATCAGTAATGTTATTGAAAATTAAAATAGCAAGTTAATGCTTTAAGTACATCTAATTTTGCAGTCATCACATCATATCTTTGACACCAGGACAAAATTTAGCCATCGATCATTTTTGTCAGTGTTAAACATAAATTGATACATTGGAAAAAAGAGTTGAGAACATAATTTTCAGAGGTTATCACCAAAATAGAAAATATAGCAAAATTCAGTATGGGCAAAAAAGTAATTAAGGGGACTTTTATGATTAATTTTTTATGGTATTTGCAATCAGTCTGTTTTAGTTTTATCATGAGGGAGCATGGATATATGTAGTCAAATGCAGTGAATCTTTTCCTTCTCAATGTAAGGTTTGATTGTTTGAGTAATTTACTTTCACACTTCCTTTGTAAGGAAAGCTTTTCATGATAGGGCAATCCAAGCTTCTCTCTATCTTATTTAGCTTCCTTTTCTGCAGGGACACTGCAAAATACCGCCCATTGATGAAAACAAATCTTATGAGCCACTCGCTCAAGTACCTAACCCAAACATACTTGGGGCAAGTATTCTTATTGATTGTCATTTTCAATTTTTTTTTTCTTTTTTTAGGGTGGAGGGGGTGGGGGGGGGGGGGGTGGTGTCTATTTCATTGCTCTTTGTCATATTGTTTCCCAAATCTTTTCCCATTCAATCTCTTTACATAGAAAACTATTTGAAATTGGATTATTTTCTTCACCATAGGATAAGATATAAGTTATTTGTTGTTCTTGGAACTAATTTCATGGTTTGGAGAAGCATCACTGAGGGGAAGAGGGACGCTCTCTCTCTCTCTCACATATTTTTGCTCTTCTAAACATCAAAAAGTAGATTATTCATTCTAAAGTACGAGTAACAGAGAAAGGATCAAAGACTACTCAGTAAATGAA